GGAGGGCCAACAGGGGGCCCCTCACATTCTCCCTTGCCCGTGCTGAGAGCCCCGGGTCGAGATCAAGGCGCTGGCCTCTTCGGCTGCGAGCGCATGCCCCTTGGCCGGTAGATTCTCGCCAGCCGGGGCGGTGGACAGTGGGCATGCCGCCAGGGGGGGGGGGCGGGGAGACGGAGTCCTGGCTGCAAGAATGGCCAGAACGTTCACGATCGGTCCGGGGACAGAGCCGGTCTCGGGCTACATCGGCTTTCTCATTGCCGGGGCTGCTGTGTGCGTGTGGGGGGTCTCCGCGCGCGGGGCCAACAAACGAGACGGTTTTCCCTCCGATTCCCTGGTCTTGGGGGGGGGGGGGGGGGGGGGGGACGCGGCTTCAACACATCCGCGCCGCGTCTTGAGAGACCCCCGAACGGCGGTCTCCCCGTCTCCCCTCATCCTCCCCCTCGTCTCCCACCTCCGCCCCCTGCGAGGTCAACCTCTCTCTCTCTCTTTCCCTCTCCCCCCCCCCCACACACCGCCAAACCTCTCCGCTCCCCGCTCATCGCCCCCACTCCCCGCCTAACATGGGCGCCCGAGCCTCGACACTCTCGCGCGATGACATCGAGGAGTTGAGCGAGATCTCATCGTGTACGCGCCTCCCTGCCCTATGTGCCCGCCGATCACCTGTGCCTGTGCTGACCCCTGCTCCTGTGTCCCCGGCCGCCCCCCCCCCCCCCCCCCCCCCCCCCGCCCCATGTCTCGGGCTGTTGGGCCATCCCCCCCGGCGAGACCCACCCCGGGCGGAAGTCGCAACCCCGGACCCCCTTGGACCCCACCGGGGAGGCCAAAGCACCCCGCACATGGGGGGCGATCCCGCCCCCATGCCGCGACCGACCCCGCCGCACGCCCCCGCCCGCCGGCCGCCGCGCGCTCTCCCCCCCCCCCCCCCCCCCCGGGAGGTCAGTCACTCCGCAGCAGATCATCCGCCTGTACAAGCGCTTCCGTCGCCTGGACCGCGACGACCTCGGCCTCTTGAACACCGATGACATCCTGAACGCCATCCCCGAGCTGGCGATGAACCCGCTGGCCGAGCGCATTTGCGCGGTCCTCGATCCGCATGACACCGAGACCATCCACTTCCGCCAGTTCTGCGAGGTCCTGGGCGCATTCAGTCCACATGCGTCGCGCGAACGCAAGCTCATGTGTGCGTGTCGCGCGCTCGGTGCTTCCTGGCAAAACACCACACCTCCCTCCTCCCCTCCTGTCCTTCGGCTCCCCTCCGCTCCCCATGTGTATATGTCGCCAGCCAGCCCGCTCGCCCGCCCGTCCGTCCCCCCCCCCCACCGTCCCCCTCTCACACTAATATCCTGTGCCTCCTGCTGTGCCTCTTCTGCCCCCCCCCCCCCCCCCTCCCCCTGACCCCGTTCCGCCCCCTCCCTCCTCTCAACTCCCGGCGTTTCAGTTGCCTTCAAGATCTACGATGTCAATGACGATGGCTTCATCACGGCCGATGAGATGCTCACTGTCTTGCAGATGTTGGCCGGCACTGGCGGGCCAGATTCCCTGAGCCTGGCCCAGTTGACCGCTCTGGCCGAGCAGACTGTCAAGGACGCCGACCTCGATGGTGATGGGCGAGTTTCCTTTCAGGAGTTTGTTCAGGTGTGTGCCCCCCTTCTCTCTGTCCCTTTCCTCAATCTCGCGCGGCTTTCCGATACGACCGCATCTCTCTCTCTCCCTCCCTCCCTCCCTCTCTCTTCAATGCCCCCCTCCTCTCCATCTCGTCAAAATGCTCGCTTCGTCACCCTGACTCTCTGTTTCCCCGCGCCTCACAGAGCTCCCAGGGCATCGATGTCCATGAGAAGTTCACCATCATCTTCTGATCGCCTGCCTATCCCCTTGTCCTTGTCTACTGCCGCTGCTGTTGCCGCCGCTGCCGCGCCCCGTCCGGAGGGGGGCCAGTGTCTGCCTCATGGACGCCTGCCCTTTCCTCCATCTGAAATGATCACTCAATAATTGGCCCGCCGTGCACATCCGCAACCCCCCCCCCCCACCTTCTCGGGTGTTCCCACAAATATACCATTCCAAAAAGAGAGAGAGAGAGAGAGAGAGAGAGAGAGAGAGTAGGGGGCAATGTGTGGTGCCCCCCTCCCGCGCGCTGGCCAGTCTCCGCCCAGAAGGGAAGAGGATGGCGATGGTGGGGATATCTCGTGTCGGGGGAAAGGGGAATTGTACATTTTTACAGGATCAAGGACAGGGTGTGCAAACCAGAGGGACGAGAAGAGCCATGCTCCCACAACAGGACAGAGAGGGAGAGAGAGGGAGAGAGAGAGGGAGAGAGGAGCGAGGGGGATAGTAGGAGAGGGAGTATGCCCAAAGTGTGAGGGGGACAAACGACACCACCCACAGCAGGGGACCGCTGGCGGGAGCTCAGAAGTAGCTGGACATGAAGGCAATCAGAGCCAGCAGAACCGCCACCAGGATGAAGGTGACAATGAACTTGTCGCCCTTCATCATCTGGCCGATGTGCGCACCAGGGCCACCACGCAAAAGGGGAAAGATGGGAGGTAAGTAGCCAGAAGGGCGTCACAGAGGGGGCCAAGTGAAGAGGAGCACAGGAGGCAGCCCGGCGTGTCGGCGCCCTGTCGGCCGCCGCCCAATGCCATGCCATGCCCGATGGCAGACGCACCCCCTTGACCGTGTCATTCATCCGGCCATTGAGCGTCTGCAGACGGAGGTTGGCCTGCTCGGCCTTGGCATCAACCTGCTCGATCATGCGGTTCTGCTGGGTGACAATGTCGCCGATGTCCTCCGCCGCCGACCGAAGTGCCTGCACACCCTCGGCGATGAGCTCGATATCGCGCTCCTACGTATGTGTGCGTGGGTGTGGGTGTGAGGGGGGAAATAGGGAGAGAGAGAGAGAGAGAGAGAGAGAGAAAGGCCATGAAAGGCAGCACATCAGGCACACAGCACAACGTCAGTCATCCTGGCTTTCAGCGAGATCGCAGCCACAAAAAGGGGCTCCTCCACATGCCTCCTCTGCCGGCCCCCCGCCCCCGCCGCCCCCCCCCCCCTTGACAGACGCCCAGTCGGGCACGCACAATGTCTTTCTCGCGCTCGCGCACGCGGGCAATGTCATCCGAAATGTCATCCAGGTCTTCCAACTTGGACACCGTCGGGTCGGCGGGGCCTGAGCGCTCCGGCTGCCCGAAGGCCGATACACCGAAGGATCCAAGCGGCGATGCCCCAGAGGTCAGCTCATTCTGCGCCGAGGTGCTGGTCGTGTTTCCTCGCTCGAGCGCCTCCAGCTCCTTGGCGTGGGCACGCGCCAGCTCGACTATCCGCAAGCGCGTGGCAAAGAAGGCGTAATCGCGGTGGGTCTTTGCCAGGTGCAGGGGGCAAGAGCCGGACGGAGGCACGGACCCGGCCGGGCATAGGAAAAAAAACAGGCTGTCAGGGGCGACTGCGAAGGGGAAGCACGTGTACAAGAGGGAGGGAAGAAGAAAGAAAACATGGCAATTGACACCCGGGCAAATGGCGCGCCTCGGGCCATGACGGCTCGCACCTCGGCCACCTGCGGCGGCAGGAGCTGCTCCAAATCCGTGATGGCGTTGTACACCTCACGAATGGACTTCCGGATGGCGGCGCCCATCTGGGAGATGGTTGCATTGTCGCGCCCCCGCGAGGAGGGGCCCTTGCTGGAGACCTTCTCCATGAGGTCCGAGCGCTTTTTCAGTTGCTGTTGTGGTGCGTGCGCGCCCCCCCCCCCCCACACACACACCCCACACCGCCCGATTGCCGAGACCCCCGCCCGCCGAAACACCAAGCGACGTTAGATCACCATGAAAATCGCGGAGACAGGAATATTGGCAGGGAAGGTGAGGATCGTCGCACATGACGCGTGTCGCGGATCAGCGAGGAGACCTTGCTCTTCTGCTTGCTGAAGTCATCATTGGCACTGCTGTTCTTGGCCATGGTGGTCGCCTCCTTGGCCAGGCGGTTCTGCTTAACCGACTCCGGCTCCAGCTCCTCATTGAGCCGGTCCAGCCGGGAAATGAGCTTCTCAAGCTCGGACGCCATGGCGACGGGGGCAGAGCGCGCGCGCGCAAGGGGGCGGGGGGGCGGGGAGGGGAGGACCGAAAGGCGGGATGCCGATTGGGTGCGACGTGACTAGGAGGGGGAAAGGGAGCGGGGGCGGGGAGCGGGGGCGGGGAGCGGGGGGTGGGAAAGAAAAAGGAGAGGGGGGAGGGGAGCTGCAGATACCTGCCCACCGGGCCGCGGCGGGCCCGGTCGCCGTGGAGGCTCAAAATGTAGTTCGGTCGATCGCCCATCGCACGGAGGCACAAGGGGGAAGGACCAGGGAGGGGGGGGCCTGGTCGCTCGGGCCCCCGGCACGGTCCTCTGCCAAGGAAGAAGATCTGCTGCCCTCCTCCTGCACGGGGCAAGAGACTTGCTCCTTGCCCCTGCGTTGCGGGGCCCCTCCTGCCAGGCTCTTTCTGTGGCCGTGCTCCTCCCGGGGGGGGGGGGGGGGGGGGGGGGGGGGGGGGGGGGGGGGGGGGGGGGGGGGGGGGGGGGGGGGGGGGGGGGGGGGGGCGTGTTGGCGCGGTCCCTGGTCTTGGCCTGGCCCTGCGAGGTTGCCGGAACTGCCGCTGATCCGGGGCGGCCCCTCCCCCGCCCCCCGCAGTTTCTCCGTCTTGTTCTCCCCGGCCACCCACTGCCAAGGGAAGAAACACTCCGTTCCCTCCCCAAAGGCGGTGGAAGCCGGCTGGCCGGGGGGGGGGGGGGGGACGGCAACACAGGCCGGTTGGAATGCGGTGCCTGCAAAGCTGGATGGCTGCCAACGGCTGTGGTCACATGGCAGAAGCATGTGTTCTGCGTCCGCCCCGGCTCCTGCGGTGGGAATCGGGGCGACTGGTCGCCAGGAGCGGGGGGGGGGGGGGGGAAAGAGAGAGAGAGAGAGAGGGAGAGGGAGAGAGAAAGGCCATGAAAGGCAGCACATCAGGCGGAGGGCCAACAGGGGGCCCCTCACATTCTCCCTT